AATCAATGAGTAAAAATGTACTTTTTTCTGGTAAAAGTTAGAAAATACAAATTTTAGAAATCTATATATGCATATAATTCATAAATGGCATCAAAAATAGTAAATACATAGAAATAAATCTAACAATGCCTCTGTTGACAATACTGCTATGAGAATGATGGACAATACCCACATGAAAAAAGCACCAAAACTGTATTGAGAAAATTTTATAAATAACTAAATAAATGGAGAGATATACCATGTTTGTAAATTAGAATATGATTGTGATAAAGATCTTGTCTCCCCAAAATGACTTATAGATTCTGAAAAATCCAATTAAAAACTCCCTGCAAGTTTTTGAAAACAAAATATGACAAGCTGGTTTCAAAATTAATATGCAAGATACCACTGAAGAAAAACAAGTTTGGAAAAATCTATCAAACTGACTATTAAATGTTATTACTAAACCATAGTAATTAAGGCAGTGTGGTGTTGGTGTGGAAATAGACAAATGGGCCAGTGAAGCAGCATATAGAGAAGATAAGTATATCAATTACATGTGAATGCTTGAGTTATACAATAATTTTTTTCCACATGTGGTATTGATAATTGAGTATGCACATTTTAAAAAGAAAATGATACTTGTGCTTAATATTATTCACAAAAATTTCCACATAAATTATAGACATGAAAGAGAAAATAAGGTATTTAGAAAATAATATACAAGGCTATCTACATGATCTGGTGGTTGGGAAAGGTTTTTTAACCGAAATATAAAAAAGAAGGCTAATCATAAAATATTAACATATTTGACTTTATAAAAATTAGTAATTTCTGGTCACTAAATTTTATATACATATCCTCTGACCCAGCAATTCCACTCAAAAGTTTGTACATTAAGATGTATGCCATGATGCCCACAGGAATGTATGAAACATTGTTCATAATAGCCATAAACCGAAAATAATTGAAATATCCAAAATAACAGAATTAATGGATAATTTGCAGTATGTTAATAAAATATACCAGTGAAATGAATAAATAAGCAGTAAAAATAATATAGCTAAACTCAACAACCTTAATGAATCTTAAAAACTTAATAACTGTACCATTTTTAAGACTACCATGTAATTGAAGGCATAACAAAAACAAAGTCAAAGGATAAGTCACACCTTGGGAGAATTTATAATAAATATTTAGTAAAACCAACATGTTAATAAGGCAACACATATAAGCAACTCTAATAGCAACAAACATAAAAAATGTTTAACCTCATAGTTATTAGGGATCTTGAAAAATTAGTTTTGAGACAAATGTCACATTTGACCTATTATATTAGCAAAAATTAAGAAATCTAAGACAATACCCATATGAAAAAAACACTAAAACCATATTAAGAAAATTTTATAAGTAACTAAATATATGGAGAGATATATCATGTTTCTTAATTATAATATGGTTATGATAAAAATGTTAAGTCTACCCAAATTGATCTGTTAGGTGTTGGTGAAGGGGTGTGTGTGTGTGTGTGTGTGTGTGTGTGTGTGTATACATATATAGATTGAGATACTTTGGAGAACCATAGAAAGCATCAAGTAAATTTTGAAAAATAATAAATCAAAAATTATACTTGGCCGGGTACAACAGCTCATGTCTATTACCCCGGCACTTAGGGTGGCCAAGGTGGGAGAGCCATTTGAAGTCAGGAGTTTAAAAGCAGCCTCAGCAATGAAGCAAAATTCATCTCTACAAAAATATTTTTTAAAATTATCCAGGTATGGTGACATGTTACTGTGATTCCATCTACTCCAGCGGCTGAAGCAGGAGGCTCTCTTGAGACCAGGAATTCAAGACTGTAGTGAGCTAGGGTTACATCACTGCACTCCAGCCTGGAAGACAGAAGAGTCAGACCCTATCTCTAAAAATAAAAATATCAAAATAAAAAATAAATACTTGCACAGATACACGAGGACAAATGTGCAATGATTTTCACTATGGCATTGATTTTATTGTCAAAAATATGGAAAACAATAAAGTAAATAAAGAAAATACATTATATTAGAATGTTCAGCAATTAAAATGAATAAAGAAAATATATAATTATCAATATGGATTAAAGTTAAAACATAGCATTGCTTTTTTTAAAAAGCCAAGTCATAAATAAATGTATTATGTAGAATTACATTAATAAATGTGAAAAAATACAATTTCATATTCATGTATATTAAAGTAGAAAAATGAACTGGAATGATATATGCCACAATTACTATAGTTAAAAGCATATATGTTTAAACAGCTGAAATTGTATCTCTTGAAGTACTCTTTAATCAAGAAAATTATTTGAAACAAACATAATAATATGTGTCTCAGGGTACTGAGGCTTCTATAACAAAACAGTATAAACTGGGTGACTTAAACATTTTATTTCTCCTTGTTCCAGAAGCTAGGAAATCCAAAGATAGGGTGCCAGCATGGACTGGTATTGGTGAAGGCTGTGTTTTTGGCTTAATACAGCTGCCTTCTTGCTGCATCCTCACACAGAGGAGAGAATAAGTGCTAGTAGCTCTTCTTCTTCTTGTAAGGACACTAATCTCATCATGAGAGCTCTACCATCATGACCTCATCTATGCCCAATTACCTCCCAAAGGCCATACTTCCTACCACCATCACTTTGGGTTACAATTTCACTTTGTTAACTGCAGGGCTTTTCAAATTTGTTTAAACGAAAAACCTAACCCATTTCTTTTTAGCATAATATCTGTTACTATCTGGTTTGCTGTGAATAACATAAGAGATTACACACTATTCTTTATGAATTGTGGTAGCCATAATGCACATTGAGGTTGGGACCTCAACATATGAATTTTGGGGGGACACACACATTCAGCCCATAACAATATGCCAACATCTTAAATTCTATGTGTGTATATCACTACACTTTTCTAAGCTTTTAGCAATTTCTTAAAAATTTAAAAATCATACAAAATTTTTTAATTATCAAGAAATATTGATCTAGCAACGACACATTTTCATCTAGTAAGTTATTTTTCCTAACAAAAATTATGGACATTGAACAGAAATTAATATTCCTTAAAATGTGTTCCATGAGTTCATTCTGGTGAAAAGAGCTATATAGGTAGTACTGGCAAGGCCAGCTCTGTCTCTGTATTAGTTTGTTCTCAAACTGCTATAAAGATAGCACTTGAGACTGGGTAATTTATATAAACAAAAGAGGTTTAACTGACTCACAGTTCCACCTGGCTGGGGAGGCCTCAGGAAATTTACAATCATGGCAGAGGTGGAAGGGGAAGCAAGGCACCTCTTACATGGTGGCAGGAGAGTCTGAGAAGGAGGAAGTACCAGACACATAAAACAACCAGATCTCATGAGAACTAACTCACTCACTTTCATGAGAACAGCAAGGGGGAATCCATCCCCATGATCCAATCACCTCCTACCAAGTCCCTCATTTGACACATGGGGATTACAATTCAAGATGATGCTTGAATGGGGACATAGAGCCAAACTGTATCAGCCCCCCTAATGTAGATTTACACTACACATGAGCATATTTTAAAACTGAGCCAGGCACAGAGGTTCATGCCTGTCATTCCAACACTTTGGGAGGAAAAGGAGGGCCAATCACTTGAGGCCAGGATTCAGCATCAGCCTGGACGTAAAAGCAAAACCCTAGCTCTACACACACAAATTTTTTTTTAATTAGCCAGGCATAATGGTACATGCCTGGGTGCCAGCTAATCAGAAGGCTGAGGCAGGAAGATCACCTGAACCCAGGAGTTCAAGGTATAGTAAGCTATAATCACACCACTGAACTCCAGCCTGGGTATCCTTGTCTCTAAATAAATAAATAAATAAGGAAACAAACAAAAAGCTGAGAATTTTTGTAGCAAAGAAAGCAATTGCACTTATTAGACCTAGGGCTTTTGAAATTTGTTTAAATGAAGAATCTAACCTACATTTTAGCATTATATCTATAACTATCTGGTAGACTGAAAATGACATAAAAGATTATACTCCATTCTTTGTGAATTCTAGTATCCATAATACACATTTCATATAATCAGTTTAATCACTGTCTACATAATTTCTGTTTCACTTTTTTTCTTATAAACATTTCTATTGTATTCTACTATTCAGAAACATTTAATTGAATTAGTCATTCAACTATGAAGCATTTGCTATTTCCAATTCTGAAATGTAATTAAAACTACTCTGAATATTTTTATACAAATTATTTTCCTTCTGTTTACCTACATCCCATTAGTAACAGAATTATCCAGTCATGATTTGCATATTCAGGTTTTGTTGCTTTTTATTTCTAGCATCCTTGACCATTTAGATGGACTGACCAGTTTTGCTTATTTCTTCAGCATATTATTAAACATATTCCATATGTTTATATGAATAATAGCAAAACTGTTCAATGTTTTAATAATACATTGAATTTTATTTTCTTCTCTGTAGGACTGTAGATGGATAACAACTTCTTCTGCCACTTTTTTTATAATATGGGTCACTATGGTATTGAGACAAAGATACCACAGAAAACAACTAGAAAAAGTACATTATTTGTGACTGTAAAGTCTTTGTGAAAGTTCTTTTAAATTACTCTTTACTCATTGCAGAAACTTTATCCCAACGAAACAATTTGAAATATAGAAAAACATTCTGTTTTGGTGAAATTTGAAATAGCAAAGGTCTTAGAAATAAATAAAATTCTTCATGATACAGGGGTTATCAAATATTTTCTCATGTAATCTACACATTTTTATGACAAATTAAACATGAGTATAGATCATTCAAACAAAAAGTGTAGAATTCAAAATTTTAGAAAGCATATAATCACAATAAGCAAGGCTATTTAAAAATAACTTCAGTAAACTTTAAAATTTTAATCTTTGGTTAGAAAGCTATGGGTGAATTTTTATTTTTCACAATTTTCTATATTTTCTAAACTCTCTACAATACATATGGGTCCTGTAATTTTTTTTCTAGCTTACCTTGATTTAGTACTCCTTTCTCCACTTAAATGTTGAAAGTTTAATTTCCGGCGTTCTTCATTATAAGGGGAAGATATGCCTCCATATGTATTTATCATAGGTGATTTATTAACAGGCATATCCACAGATCATAAATTCTAAAAGGAATATTAAATGTATGTTAGCATACAAATGTACTCAGTATCAAACAATACAGGTTATGCAAAGTTATTATTTTTGGAAAAGTAGTGAGAACTAAAGTTAGGCTTAAGAACATTCTATATTAAGGAAGAATTTAAATATATAAGTAAGCTATAAGGATATTATGGAAATAAGTATAAAAAGTTACGATTATCAATGTATCTATCCATATATCTAGTCTTTATTATGCTTTAGCACTTTTATCAGCAAAACCATTGAAAGGGCAGCAAGGCATGGTAGCTAAGAGGACAGGCTATACAACCAGACTAACTGCCCTGTGCCTCAGTTTCCTCACCTGTATGAGAAGAGTATTTCCTCATCAAGTTCTTCTGAGAAATAAATAGTTCAATAAATGTAAATTGCTTATATAGGAATATAAATTGCCTAGTATATAGGAAATTTTATGTAATCATTTGTGATCATATTATTGTTTTCTGTTCTTTAAAGATTCTCGTAAATTCCTTTTCATATCTCCTGTCTTTTCGTCATTTAGACACCGCTTTCTCTGCTTGTCTTACACCCAAATTTTTTTCTTTTTTTTCATATCTGAGTATATTCTATGAGTGTATGACCAAAACTAAAACATCCTATTTGTGTTTAGTAGAGTTTTAGTCAGCAAAATGAAGTAACGAAAGGGTAGTCATATCTACATTACAGTATTTTGCCTTTCATTTTTTAAATAGCTAAATATAAAAATTGATCACTAGATCAGTCAAAGTTTTGGCAGGAAACGCAGAGCACACTCAAATAGGGTACCTGAATCACGGTATTCTTTCCAAAGACATATAAAACAAGATGGTTCTGTTCTCAGGGACTGACAAGAATGAAATAAACCATTATCACTCTTAGGACTGAAGAGGAAGGTAGATCAAGACAGAATAGCTATTGAGGAATTGTGTTTAATAAAAAGCTTTGGCCTTTAAGCAAGAAATGCAGCCAACCTGAGGCTGCCCTCTAAGAGAGAGCCTGCAGGATAGAAATTCCAATCTCACTCTCCTTGCATGCTCCACTCCAGTCATCAACGAGAACACACGAACACAGGGAGGGGAACATCACACATCATGGCCTGTCGGGGGGTGGGTGATTAGGGGATGCATAGCATTAAAAGAAATACCTAATGTAGATGATGGGTTGATGGGTACAGCAAACCACTGTGGCACGTGTATACCTATGTAACAAACCTGCATGTTCTACATGTGTATCCCAAAACTTAAAGTATAATTAAAAAAAAAAAAAAAAAACCAACTATCCACAAAACAGCGTGTATCAGAAATATCTAGAAATATAAATTTGAGTTAGACATACCCTTAGATAAATTAGTTTAAAGCATTTAATGCCAAATGGATGGAAAAGAAAAAACTACAGGCCATCAAGGGAGAAAAAAGAAATTGAAGGCTAAAACTGGTTTTTGTGTTTGTTATATTAGGCACATTGACCCAAAGCTTTTGGCTGTTTCCTGAGATCTTTCACAGAGTTGGCTATGGTTAGTCATTTTTTTTTTCAGTTTCAAGAAGCTTAATTGCTTTAAACATTATCTTTTAATCGCTGAACTTATTGTCCAAAAATTGCCCACATCTGCTGGTAATAGTGGTAGATATTTGCACTTTCTGCTCAACATGCAAGTTCCACAATGCCCTGTTAAAGAAACTTCTCCAGTTGGATGGGGTTAAAAACCTCAAAAATATAAGTTTCTAAATGCTTACTCTCAATTTCCGGCTTATCTTAGCAGTACTGGTAAAAGTGTTTAACCAATACAAGTTTGTAAATCACTATTTGAATAGTGTTTATAAGAGAAACAATTTGTGCCCCCTAATATATTTTATTACCTAGGATTACTTTTGACAAAGAGTAATGGGAACAAGAGCTAAATAACTTCAAATTTCAAAAAAAAAAAAAAGAAATTAATACCTCCAAAAATATTTCTTATAGAGATGTCAGAATCAAATCCTCAGTAAAGTAAATAAACAAACAAAAAGTTTCAAAATAACCCTCCCCCCAAAAAATAAAAGTATAGGATCTGAAAATATCATCAACTTTCAGAAAAATATTAGTTCTTTTCTAAAGATATTCTTCCCATTTAGATTTTCTAAAGATATCAAATTCCCAGTAGAGCCCAAAGCTTGGCGATATCAACAAAAGAATTTATAATAGTAATTATTATTATTTTTGCATGAAAATAGGGCCGATTGCATGGTGCGTTAAGATTCATTTTCCAACTCCAACACAAACCATAAAAAATCTGAGAAAATGTAAGCATTTAATTTTTAATATGTCATTTTGCAGTTATTGTAATTTATATTGTCTGTTTTTTAACCCACTTTTTACATAATTAGCTAAACAAGCAAAGTAAAAATTCATCTTATTTTTATTCTAATTTACTGATGGCAAAATAAACTTTACTAGACCTTTCTTGGTCAAGAAAAAACAATAATCAAGAAGCAGGAATGTGAAAAGGAGTTAATTTGTATTAACAATGTAGTAATAATGAAGTAATAAATGTAAATTTGACAAGTGTTTACAGTGAATCATATAACATTATGAAGGTAAAAATGTTTAACTTGCATGAACGTGAAAAAAGTAATGAAGCAAATAATGATGATATTATTCCAAAGAAATAAGAAACCAAGAATTTTTACTTGTCTTTTATATATATACATGTAGTTTGATTTTGTGAAGTGCTAAAACCAAAGTATATATTTCTGAATATGTATGTCTAATGAAGCAATAAATATCACCTTTTAAATGCCATCTATGTAAAGCATAAAAAAGTTCAAACTAAAAAATTTTTGAAAGTATTACAAGAATCTGAAAAGTATTAATTATTTCTTCTGTTGGCTGTAGCCAACAGCATTTTGTGTTGCTAAGACTAAAAAAATATAGTTAATTGACAAGAGTCACAGATTGCATCAGAAATTTCCAATGAATCTTTGCCATGTACTCAGGACTGGTCGACAACATAGTGCAATGTACTTAGCACTGGCTGACATCATCGCAACTTGGTAAATGCACAGACGTTGCACACTTTGGCAATTGCTTTACCACAAGTGCAATTTGGACATATTAGTGATATAAATGTAGAACTGTTGTATTGGCCCCATTATTTACTAGTATAATTAGCTCTGAATCTCTGAATAGTATAAAACTAGAAAAGCTTGCATTTTATTATATAGATATAATAAGTATATGTTTATATTTTATATAAATACACATATATGTTTTAGATGGAGTCTTGCTCTATCACCCAGGCTGGATGGAGTGCACTGATATGACCTCGGCTCAGTGCAACCTCTGCCTCACAGGTTCAAGTAATTCTCTGCCTCAGCCTCTCGAGGAGCTGGGATTACAGGTACACACCACCATGCCTGGCTAATTTTTGCATTTTTAGTAAAGAGGGGGTTTCATTATGTTGGTCAGGCTGGTCTCCATCTCCTGACCTCAAGTGATCTGCCCACCTCAGCCTCCCAAGGTGCTGGGATTACAGATATGAGCCACTGTGCCCAACCTTAAAAATTTTTTAAAGTAAGTTTTGTGTAGGACTGCTGCAGTAGTAGGTAATCATTTTGAGTAGTCATTGAAATGGAGGAGTTTATACCAGAAACCTTCTAGAAGCTGAGAAATACTGACTCCAGCCAAGTAACAACAACGACAAAATTGAAACAAAAGAAAAACGGGGACTTCATTTCTACAACTGCATGGAGCTGTATTCTGCCAACCATCTGGAAGACCTTAGAAGTAAATTCCTTACCAGAGCCTCCAGGTAACAGACTAGCTCAGCTGGCACCTTTTCTCCACCCCCAGTATTATTGAGCAAATGTTATTGACAAATACAAATTGTATATATTTATGTTGTATAATGTGATGTTTTCACATATGCATACATTGTAAAATGATTACCACAATCAGGCTAAATAATATATCCATTACTTCACAGTGGTCTCCATTTCTCTGATGATTAGTGACGTAGAGCATCTTTTCATATATCTATTGGCCATTTGTATATCTTCTTTTGACAAATGTATATCCAGGTTCTATGTTCATTTTTTAAATTGTCTCTCTTTTCTATTGAGTTGTTTGAGTGCCTTAAATATTTTGGATATGAACCTTTTTTTGTATGTGTGATGTGCAAATATTTTTTACAGCTGCTAGCTTAGTGTCAATTTGTGAGACATTGAGCAGAGAACCCAGCTGAATCTGCCTAGATTTATGACCTAAAGAACTGTGAGAGTGTTATTTTAAACCTTTAAGTTGTGGTAATTTATTTTGGTAGCAATGGAAAACTAAAACAAGATATCCCATAATTTAGCAATTATCATTGAAGCGGGTAATAATCTTTACATTGCAGTCTGTAAAATGTTATCTCTAAGTATTGTACTATTTGATAGAATGTTTAAATTTATTTTCTAAAGAAGATTCACACATAAGGAGTTCATGAATCCAGAATCCATTTCTTTCTTTGAAATGTAATTTAAGTTTGGGTAAAATTTAACAGGAGAACTTACTGGAACCGGCTGCTGGTAAAAAGTTGACATTCATTTTGAAAACACAGCATAACTTTATGTTAGACAAAAAATTTAACATTCTTAAATGATGAAATTTTAAAAACATTCTTCTTTGATTCTTATCATCATACCTAGGTAAGACTCATTTTTCTACCATGAATATTATTGAAACAAAACACAGAAACAGTGGAGAGATACATTAGTTCATGCAAAGAATACTGCTGAAATTCAACCCAAATGTGACAAAATTAAGAAGCATCAGAAAGATCACTGGTCATATTAAAAATGTTGATATTTATATACCTAATGTGTGTTCCATGTATGCACATGGGTTGTTTGCTTGTTTGTTTAAAGACTTTATTTATTTATTTATTTAGAGACAGAATCTCCCTCTGTCACCGGGCTGGAGTGCAATGGCGTAGTCTCGGCTCACTGCAGCCTCCGCCTCCCAGGTTCAA